CTATTTTCTCTTTTGTCTCTTTAATAACCGCCTACTGTCTTTTCCGCTCGTTTTGATGTGTGTTTTTGTAATGTTTGGAAGCATGTGTGCATGCATAATACAGACGGTGTCTATTGTGTGTGAGAGTGCACTTATCTCGGCTTTTGCATATGAGTGTGTGTGTGTGTGTGTGTGTGTGTGTTCTCCATCAGACCCTCTTAGTGTTGGTGTTTTATCGGCGCTTCTATTTGTTCAGCTTTGTCTTTAAAAATTAGGAATCAAATAAGCGTCAGTAGCATGGATGTTCACAATATTACCAAAGATAAATTACATGTTTCTGAATACAATACTTCACAAGGGATAAATAAATAGAAGACAAACATCTTAAGCAGTACAATACTGTGCATGTATAACAGAAAACAGCAGTCTCGCTGTATCTCTGTTCATGCAGACACACTTTTTTGCTCATCTGCAGGAATTGTACCCTCATTTTTCTGATGTGCTTTGTGTAATAATTGTTCTTTTAAGTGTGTTTAATTGATATATCTAGTGAGGAAGTGAAGCTCTGCCTCAACAGCTTGCAGTGTGTACTGTGAAACAGTTTGTCTTGGCTCATTATATTATTATCTCAATATGAAATTTAAAAATGGTGCATTTGACATGACACGATTGTTCTCTTAAAATCAATTTGTTGAAAGACGATAAAGGATAATATTGAATTAGTACTGCAGCTAACATTTAATTTAATTAATAATTTTCTGCAGAATACTTAAATAAGTATTTGTCAGCAAAAAGTGAAACACGTCCATAATAATCTTCCAAATTGTCCCAACAGTGTAGAAATAAAGCATCCATTTATCCATTAAGCAACTGTTCTCTTTTTAAATCCTCATGGTTTCTTTTATTTGTGCGTAGTTTTGGTGAACTTATTTTACGTTGCCTTTTATTTCTCCCTCTTTATGGGAGACGGACCTGAAACGATCCATTTAGAGCACATTTTTGAAAATCATTCAATCCTACGAGCGATTTTTAAGCTAAAATGCCAAACATTAGCTGGTTCCAGTTTTTCAAAAGTGACGATTTCCTGTTTTTATCCTTCTCTATTAAATCTATTTGTGAGTTGGAGCCCTATATAGAGAAAGCCAGACATTTTGAAGACATCACCTCGGAGAATCAGTGCATTTCTCACCATTTTTTCACATTTCACACTCTAACGATTCATTGAATAATGAAGAAGATATGGCAGGCTGATCGACAATGAACATAATTGTTAGTTGCAGCCCTGAAACCTTCTCCTCCCCCTCTCCATCAGCCTCCTCTCCTCCATTATTTTTATTTTCTTGCCCTCCTTTCCTTCCTCTTTATTTCCTCTCCGTGGATCCGTCCAATAATCTTTTATTCCTGTGTAAATATTACCGCAATGAGGGAATATAAAGAATGGGACAGCCTTAGTGAAAAAGGTCAGGCTAGGTTATTCTCACCTTATGTCTCCCACTCTCTATGTCTCACTCCTCCTCTGTCACCCATCATGTCTCGCCCTCTCCCTCCCTCCCTTCCTTCCTTCCTCCCTCCCTTCCTCCCTTTCTTCCCCCGCTAGCTCCCCTGTTTCCCCTTTTCGTTTGCGCTGTCTGCTGATCCCGCTCCCTTTAGTCTCTTCCCCCTCACACTCATACACACACTGCCTGTCTGACATCCACACACACATACAGTACAGTACACACACACACACACACACACACACACACACATACACACACACACACACACACACACACACACACACACACACACACACGAGGACACCTGCATGTCGAGTCGTTGAGGGTCTAATTTAAGTAAAGTGCTTCTCTAGGAACCACAACCCCTCAACTCACGATGATGGAGGGTGATACGGAGCGGCGTGGTTGAACACACACACACACACACACACACACACACACACACACACACACACACACACACACACACACACGAACACACAGTTATACGCAGACACACACATCCTGCTCCAGTTATACTGAGATATAACTCTCCGTGGTGTGTGATTGAAGGAAACACCGTAGATGGGTTGTAAGTAGCGTACTGTAATAATAATGTGATATTCGATCCCACGTTTCTCGACTCACTGTTTCCCGGCTGCAGGCGGCTCAGACTGCGGGGTCAGTTACAGCTGCTAGAGATTCAGTGTCTTGCTAAAGGGCACTTCAGCAGGCTGGATGCTGGTTAGAGGATGTTGTCCTCCGCCCTGCATACTTTGCTTCTGCTGCGTAGGTGTCTTTGTTTCCACTGGAGTTGGAGCTAACTTTAGCTACGCTGCTGCTGCAAATCTGAGGCTGCAAACACAACCTTCACAGAGAAAGAATAACAATAAGACTTTCATTTTGGTTTTCTTATTCCATGATAGAAGTTGAGTCAAGATTTACAAAGATAATCCAATTTCTGTATGGCTTATCTTCCATTTCTTTCTACAAAATCTTCTAAGACTCCTGATAGAAAAGCCTGAACTCCATTTAATTACTTATTTTTGTCTTGAAAATATTACAGCTCTAATGTTTTAAATGCCTCTTAATTCATTCATTCTCACATAAAATAAAACATTAAGTTTAGTCCATTAAAGTCGTTTTAGTTGAGGTGAGCGTCTTTGTGGATTTGACAATTGGTTTCCATTTTGTTTAGCTTGTAAGATAGCCTAAAGCTAGCTTGAAGGTAGCTTATACCACATTTTCTTCATAAAATGTACAACTGCAAAACATTTTTGGGTACTTCTGAGTCAGAAAACAAACAAACACTGACACATTTAAACCTTTAAAGTTGATATAGAAGATTGTGTTCAACAGCTAGCCGCTAACATAACCGGCTAAGGCTAGTATGGTTGCTAGTAGTAAATCATTAAAAAGAATTATATAACTTATTGAAGTTAATTGAGGATGTTTTGGCTACTTAGAGACAAAACTAAATTGCTATACGGTCCAAATATCAAACCATTACATCACATATCCACATATTCTGCTTTCCAGGTTTTTGAGCCATCATTATGATTAAAAACTATAATGTAGATTGCAATTTGTAATCAGAAAGCAGTATTTATTGATAAGTGGTGAACTTGTATTGTGTTTGAACTTCAGTAGATCATGTGATTTAAGAAGAAACACATGTACCTGTTCATCTCCGCCTCCACTCTGCCCTTCGGCCCACAGTGACATGTTTTCTGTTACACTCACTTTGTGCTCTTCCTGGTGTCTTGACCCCCTGGTGTATTTCATCCAGCAGTTTCAAATCATTTCAGTGTGTGTGTGTGCGTGTGTGTGTGTGTTTGCGGTGGCTGCAGACTGAATGGACCACAATGGGCGTGGCACAGGCCTGTCGGACTGGAGAACGACCAGAACTCCCAGAACAGCTTCCTCACTGTTTACTCAAAGTAATTGTATGGTTGGGGGGCTCACACACACACACACACACACACACACACACACACACACACACACACACACACACACAGACACACACACACACACACACACACACACCACACACAAGCACACACATCCCTACACACGCAACAGTTAGACGGAATTGCATTATTGGCTCTCACCGCAGGCTTTCCTGAAATATCAGCAACCTTATGCTTTTAATTAGTGTGTGTGTGTGTGTGTGTGTGTGTGTGTGTGTGTGTGTGTGTGTGTGTGTGTGTGTGTGTGTGTGTGTCCTGACGTACCGTTTGTGTCTGTATGACCCCTTTTCCCCAAAATCCCCTGTTTTCTTTGGTAAAACATGGAAAGACTTACTCTAACAGCCCCCCCCCCCTTCCCCTTCCCTCCTTCCTAAGAACATCTCATGTGTTCCTGCTCTCCTTGACCATATATGGCCCTTCTTCCTGCCGTGGGTGTGTGGCGTCCCCAAAAAAGTATGTGGTCAAAAAAGCAGGAGCGTTTTCCTTCTTACTCAGTTTACTGTGGTCCATGTTCGGGGACGGAAAACAACAACCAGGATCCTTTTTTCCGGGGCTTTTCAGGCCGGGTTCACACAAGGTGCACTGTCGTCGTTTTATCCGTGTTGATTTAATTCCACCGGCTTTTATTTTCCTGTAATTTTCACAGCCTCACAGCCAGCATACGATGTGCCTCTTCACATCCTCACCGGTGTTTGATGGTGTAAACACACATATGTAGGTGCAGCGAGATTGGGATGTAACTACAGTTGTCTCGTGCATGCAGAGCTGGTAGTAGAGTGTGTGCGTGTGGTTGGCTCGGCTCTGGTCCGCAGCCTGGGAGCCAGGCTTTGAGCTGTGCTGTTCTTACTCTGCTGATTTATGCGCCTCACAGGGAAATCTCTCATTTGTAGCTCCTTCATCTCATTTCCCCCCTCCACTCTTTCTCTCTCTTTCTCTGTCCTGTCTCTTCTTTTCCCGCCGTAATGTGATTCAGTGCAGCCGCTCGTCCCAGGCGACATGCCATGCTTTGCTTGCACACCCTGCTCTCTCTAACATGAATGAGTCAATTGATGAATAATAAGATAG